CTAAAAACTCTTTGGCAGAGATTCAGTTGAGCCTTGCTGTCATTAAAATTTGTGGTCTGTCCTTCACCTTCCCCAACTTTAAACAGTGACACCACCAATAGCCTCCCACAAAAGAATCTTAATGTAGAAATAAAATTGGCTTAGGGTAGTTCACAACATCCTTCTGAGCATAAGATATGAAGCAGTTCAACATTTTGGCATAAACTGGAATTATAAGATTACTGAGGCAATGATTTATGAAACAAACTTACAGGTATTTGGGAAAGGCAGTTTCAAGGTATGTCACAGAGAAGACAGCAGGTTCTTTTTCTTGGAAGTCTCTGGTATCAAAACCAGAAAGAATCCCAGCCCTGGCCATGTACTACACCACAAAGCTACATCCTTGACTTTCTCAATTAAGGACGATGAATACATTGGTCCAGGCTCAGACCATGCCGTGAGAGGGAGCCCACTCCTGACACTACCTGGAGCACCAGCCCCAGAGGCTCGATGGCCCAGAGACCAGGATAGAAACAAACACGAATGGAAAAAAAAGTTAGTGTAATGAAGCCTAGCGATATTCTGCTATATTCATAGATTGATACCCAGCCCAATGGTCATCAGAGAGGTTTCATCCAGCAACTGATGGAACTGATGCATAAACCCACAGTCGAACATTAGGGTGAGCTTGGGGAATCCTACTAAAGAGAGGGAGGAAGGATTGTAGGGGTCAGAGGGGTCAAGGGCATCACAAGAAAACCCACAGAATCAACTAACCTGGGTTCATAGGGGCTCACAGAGATGGAACTGACAACCAGGGAGACTGCATGGGATTGACCTAGGCCCTCCGCGAAGATGTTACAGATGTGTAGTTTGGTTTTCTTGTGGGCCTCCCAACAGTGGGGACAGGGACTGTCTTTAACTGTTTTGTTGGCTTTTGGGACACTACTACTCATTCTGGGTCACCTTGCCCAGCCTTTACACAAGGGGAGGCTCCTAGTCTAACTACAACTTGAAACGACACGTTTTGTTGAGATTCATGGGAGGCCTGCCCTTTTCTGAATAGAAATAGAGGAGAAGTGGATTGGTGGGTACAGAGGGGAGGTGGGGGAAGGGACTGGGAGGAGAGAAGGGAGGGGAAACTGTCGTCAGGATGTAAAATAAATAAATAAATTTAAACAATAATAATAAAGACTGATGCATTAATATGTCTTTGGATACATGGTGTGAGTTCCCTTCCAACCTTTTAGTTGGAGACAGAATCAAAAGTCCATAGATCTTTGGTCATCTGTCCTAGTCACAATGATGCTGTGAGATCATCTTGTCACAATCCAGGTTTCCCAACTCCCTATAAAGTGGCTCTTCAACATACATATACACCACACCCCCTAGATGGCTTATTGAAGCACAGACTGAGAGTCCCCCCTATGCTGGGTGATTCCTTGGGTCTGATTCAATAGCCAGCAGTGTCTCAACACATAACAACCTAGGCTTAGGTTGCTGGTCGAACAAATACACTGGAAACTGTGGTACAACTCTACAGTGCTTCCTTCTTTATCATCACTGCTGCCTCCCATCCAGGAACATCGGTTCCTGTACCATCTGGGTCTGCTCTGCCCATAGGACCCAAGGCTGCAAACTGAACCAAATATCCCTCCCCAAATACTGGTCCATCTACAGAACACTCAACTCCAGCCCCATGTGCTCATCTGGGTTTAATAAATGGTCAACCTTCAAGAACACCAAGGGTATGTTTTATTTCCTTTTCCTTCTTTTTCTTTTTCACAGGGTCACAGAGGATCTGGCCTACCACACCAAGAGCCTCAAACTGCAGTTTTAGCATTGCAATGCTCTGCAAACAAGGGTGAGCGTTCATTTTATAAAGCGTAGTTTGATTTGTGGTTTTAGACAATGAGATCTCATGTTCCCCAGGAGACAGTGCTCTGCTCAGAAACCATGATAGGTCCAGAGAGACAAAGGATGGAACACTCCAGAACATCATGGTCAAGGGTAGCAGAAGACCAGAGCAGTCACAAGCTACCTTAGCCATGACCTTAGCAATTCAAAGCAGGGCTACAGTAATATCATTCCTTCTTGAAAATTAGGAGACTAGGAATTCAAGGGAAAGTATTTTATCATAGGCAAGCCTGACAGGTTCATAGTAATGAAGGTAGACAATAAATACAGGAAGAAATCTTCCTATCTGGGGAGGGGAGAGTTAAACAGCAGAATGAGCTAGAGGTTTGGGATTTGTTTTCATTACACATCACATGCTCTCTGCTTTCTCTCTCTGGTGAAAATCACTGGTGCAGAGGTAAAAAAAAGACCAAAGGCACAAAAGAGAGAAGAAACAATTGCTAGGTATGTGTCAGAAGAGCCAGATGGAGAAATCCACAGAACAACTAGAGGGACCAGGCCTGAATGAAGGGAGCGTTTTAGCTTTCTCAGAGGCTAAGAACGGGAAGGTGTTGCTTTGATGTCCCTTCCTGTTGCAGACCTGCAACTGCCTCCTTTCTTCCTCCAAGCCTAGATGCAATGAGGAAATCACTTCATCTCACCTATTTATAAAATAGTGGTGCCATTCACCCCTGCAAAACTCCACAGGCAGATATTTAGCATTGGCTCTCAGCCTTCTACAAAGGCTTTTAGCAACATGCTCCTGGGGGGGGGCAGGGAGGTGGGATCATCAGACGCTATAAAAATTAAGCTAAAACAGCAAATAAAAATAAAAAAAGAAAGAAAAATGGTTGTCAATTTTTTACACATTTAAGAGCTCATCACAGATATTCCCAGTCTTAGACTATTATCTTTAGACAGGAATGTATAAAACAGATTTGATTAGACAAGCAATCTAATGAGGGCTAAAAGACATGTATAAACCATGTATTTTTATGTTTCCATTGTACTTTTGGTATTAGTATAATGTAGATAATGTTGGTACTACATGTGTATTTTAAGGTAAAATTATGCATATTTGAGTCCTTCAAATATACTGATGGCTACTACTGAAACTATTACCCACTCAAAAGAAATTCATATTTTAGGAGACAAAAACAACATTAAAAATAATTGAATTTCAGTGCGTCCTCAACACTTGGGTACAATGTCAGATAGGAAGGTTGTGGAGCCTTCCTGGAGACTGTTATGGTATCCCAGAGTCCACCCTCTCCAGACTGCTCCTGCTCGTTTTCTGTCCACTCTACTCCTATGAGAAAAAGAAATGTTGGTATCCTAGCCCACCAAAACAAAGAGGAAGGATGTATTGTTGCTCACCACTGCAGACCTCAGAGCCTGCTGTCCTCTAAACCCTCCTTCAGCACAGCTTGTCTCCACAGGATTATTGTCTCTATGTGGAACAGCTTCTCTGATGGGTCAAAGCCCTGGAGTGAAGGGATGGAGCTATCCCCTGGAGCCCTGACTCGGTTCCTGGAAGTCTTTCAGGGAGAACCTGGACCTGTAAAAAGCATTTTTCCATTGCACTGGAGTGGGAAGTTAACCTAGAGAGTGCAGGCCTCCAAAGCAGGAGCTCTGAGGTGGGTAAGATGTACTGCAGGTGACCAAAGAGAACCAGACAATTCAGTGACAGTCACTGACAACAGCATCCTCAGCCTTGAATGAGTGTGAGCATTTCCTAAAGAACAGATGGCTTCCTGAACTTCAGCATCAGACACTCAAATGCACTATTCATAGGAAAGATTATGAATTCACAGCTCTAATAAGCTCACAAATGGTTCTGTTAGAGCAACAATCACTGTTTGAGTGGCAAAGCTTTAGAGAGTGTAACCAGGCCAGTGTTTAATCAACAGTTTTCCCAGTGGACACACTTTCTCTCAGGGCACTTATTGTTTCCACCTCTGACACATGCTAGGTGTTAAAAGGATCTTTCTAAACTTGAGTGGTGTCATTGGTTTGCTCAATATGCTGGCTGTGGCCCTGGTTGAGTCTACAATATAACCTAAGTAGCATAACACAGCACCATGCAGTAAGGGCCATAATCTAAAATAAAATTTATTGGTAGATTGTCATGTGCTGTGCTGGTTAAACTCACTGAGAGCTGACTTTAAGAGAAAAACTTGCTCATCAGAAACCCAAGCATAAGTAACTCATGTGTCCTCTGAGATCTTTGTGGCACAGACTGGACCCCTGCCTCTGTGTCAGGAAGAAAAGAGAACACCAAACAGCTGAGAGCATTAAAAACATGATGTCCTTGAGAACACCTAGAAGTTAGTCATTTCCAACAGGGATTACCATTGTTTACCTGGAGGCCTAAAAGTTCCTGCAGTTGGAACATAAAACTAGAAGCTTATTGGGGTGTTTTGAAAGAAAATGGCCCCCAGATAATGATACTATTAGGAGGTGTGACTTTGTTGAAGTAGGCGAGGCATTGTTGGAGGAAATGTGAAGTGTGTTACTGTGGGGATGGGCTTTGAGGTCTCCTATGCTCAAGCTATGCCCAATGTAGAACACAGTTCATTTCCTGTTGCCTGCAGATCAAGATGTAGAACTCTCAGCTCCTTCTCCAGCATTATATCTGCCTGCATACCGCCAAGTCCCACCATGATGATAATGAACTAAATCTCTGAAAATATAAGCGACCCCAATTAAATGTTTTCCTTTATAAGGGTTGTTGGAGTCATGGTGTCTCTTCCCAGCAATAGTAACCCTAACTAATATGCTTATCCATGTAGAGAAATTCCTACTCTGCCTGAAAATCTCTCAATTAAGACCTCAGTGGGGCTCCTCCCATCATTTCTGATGATATTGAAAGTTCCCAAGGTAAAGTTTTGCTCCAAGTTGCTGTTTATATTTATCACTATTTGTTCTTGCTTGCTACATACTTAGTAAACTCACTCATTTGAAACCAAAACTCAGCTGTCTGCTATTGTCAAGCATTCTCAGTAAAGAACAAGGGCATTTCATATGTTAGTTAATCTTTTGTGTTGCAGTCCTCAATGATGGCAGGGTAGGTATGCCTGCATCTCTCCAGGCATGTTGAGCTTTGTCTTCTTGCTGTCACTAACCTGAAGATGTCCAGAGCCATGTCAAATCACCCAAGTTCAGTGAGGCTGCACACACCTTCTCTTTTGTCCTGTATTTAGAAAAAAAGAACATTTTGAAATTATTTATTTATTTATTTTCTCATATATTGCATGCCAACAACAGTTTCACCTCCTTCCTCTCCTCCAAGTTCCACCTCCACCTCTCCTCTGCCACGATTCACTCCTCCTCGGGTATATCAAGCAAATATGGCATATCAAGTTAGAAGATTCACACAGCCTCGGATCAAGGCTAGATGAGGCAACCCAGTAAGAACAAAAGGGTCCCAAAAGCAGGCAAAAGAGTCAGAGACAGCCCCCACTCCCACTGTTGGGAGTCCCATAAGAACATCAGGCTACACAACTGTAGCATGTATGCAGAGGGCCTAGGTCAGTCCCACGCAGGCTCCCTGGTTATTGGTTCAGTCTCCATGAGCCCCCTACAATGCTGGCTAGCTGATTCTGTGGGCTGTGTTCTTCTGATATCTTTAACCCCTCTGGCTCCTAGAATCCTTCCTCACCCTCTTCTGAGGAATTCCCTGAGCTCTCTCTAATGTCTGGCTGTGGGTCTCTGCATCTGCTCCCACCAGTTGCTGGGTGAAGCCTCTCTGATGATGATTGTACTAGGCGACAGTCTACAAATACAGCAGAAAATCATTAGAAATCATTTCATTGACTTTTTTGTCCATTGCGTCTGATTCTATCCTAGGTCTCTGTGCTATTCAGCCTCTGGGTCCTGGCCCTCCAGGCACTGTCAGGTATGGGTCTGTCTTGTCGCATGGGACTCAAATTGGGCTGTCATTAGTTGGCCACTCCTACAAGTTCTGTGCCATCTTTGACACAGAACATTTTGCAGACAGGACAAATTGTAGGTCAAAGGTTGTGTGGCTGGGGTTCGTGTCCTAGTCCCTCCACTGGAAGCCTTTGCCTGGTTACAGAAGATGTCCAGTTCAGGTTCTACGTCCCTCATTACTAGGAGTCTTCACTATGGTAACCCTCATAGACTCCTGGGAGACTCCCTGCACCAGGTTTTTACCTGACCCTGAATCCTCCCCTTTTCTAGTATTCTCTTTTGATATTACCCCCTCTGCCTGCCCCCAATCTGCACTCTCCTGTTCCTATCCTGACCCACCCTCAGTCCACTCACAAAATCTCTTCTATTTCACCTTCCAAGGGAGATCTGGGCAGCCTCCCTTGTATCCTCCTTGTTACTTAGTCTCTCTGAGTATGTGGATTGTATTGTAGTTATTCTTTATTTTGCAGCTAATATCCACTCATGAGTGAGTAAATACCATGTTTGTCTTTCTTGGTCTGGGTTATCTCACTCAAGATGATGTTTTTTTTCTAGTTCCATCTATTTGCCTTCAAATTTCCTGGTGTTCTTATTTTTAACTGCTAAGTTATATTCCATTGTGTGAATATACCACATTTTCTTTATCCATTCTTCTGTTGAGGGGCACCTAAGTTGTTTTCAGTTTCTGGCTATTCTGAATATTCGTTATGAACACAGTTGAGCAACTGTCCTTGTGATATGATGGAGCACCCTTTAGGTATATGCCCAGGAGTGGTATAGCTAGCTCTTGAGGTAGACCAATTCCCAGGTTCCTGAGAAACCACCATATTGGTTTCCAAAGTGGCTGTACAAGTTTGCATTCCCACCTGGAGGAGGGTTCCCCTTGCTTCACATCCTCACCACCATGAGCTATCACTTGTGGTTTTGATGTTAGTCATTCTGACAGGTGTAAGATGGAATAACAAAGTAGTTTTAATTTACATTTCCTTGATGGTTAAGGATACTAAACATTTCTTTAAGTGTTTCTTGGACATTTGATATTCCTCTGTTGACAATTCTCTGTTTATATCTGTACTCCATTTTAAAAATTGGATTATTAGGTTGTTTATGTCTAATTTCTTGAGTTCTTTGTATATTTTGGCTATTAGTCCTGTATTAGATGTGGAGGTGTTAAAAATCTTTTCCCATCCTATAGACTGCTGTTTTGTCCTATTGATGGTGTTCTTTGCCTTACAGAAACTTTTCAGTCTCACGAGCTTCTATGTATTAATTGTTGATCTTAGTGTCTGGGCTATTGGGTGTTCTGTTCAGGAAACTGTCTTCTGTCCTCTTTCATTAAGACACTGCCCCCTACATTAAGATGCCACCATCAATCTCCACACAATTTGAATGTCCCAGCTCTATAATTTTGTTCATCCCTTAATTTCAATAGAGTGAAAAATTCGAATCTGATTGCTAATCACTGCTCAGTAACCATTGCTTTCTAAAGAAACTCCCACCTGTGTTATGCTGTATGCAGCTTTAACCTCTGTAACCACAGCATGTTGTCAACCATTGTTTCGATAAAGCAGTAAAAGTTAGTATTGAGGAACTTTAATTCTTAAGTCCTAGAAATTTTATGTCAAACCAATATTGACAAGGTTTTTTTCATAAAAAATAAATCAATCTGGTCAAATAACGTGTAGTTTTCTTTGTAAGAATGGTGCTTATGGAGTTCGAGGCCAGGCTGGACCGACAGCCTCCAAAACAATACAGAGAAACCCTGTCTCGTAAAAACCAAAAAAAAAAAAAAAAAAAGAATGGTGCTTATGAGAATAGAATATAGATATAAGGTCAGGTGTACATTCATAGATAACTACACACATACCTACTACATACATGCCTATATATGTATATATATATTCACACATATATGTTCACATATATACTATATTCGATCTTAGCCAAAAGACTGAGAAGCATTATATTCACATATATGAAGCCTCAACAACTCTGTGTTTTTCTAGTCTCCCTGGTCCTTGCATTGGTCTTAGATGCATCCTTCTAGAATCTAGACTGGCAGCCTTTGAGTGCTCTGGTAGTGTGTCAAAATGTGAGCCATCTCCTTTGAGAAGGGCTAGAGTATGACTCAGCCACTCAGTTAATTTGACTTCTGCCTCTCAGTAACAGCCTTAGAAAATAAAAACAAACAAACAAACAACAACAACAAAACAAATCTCTGGAACTCTAAATACTTCTTGGATCCAAACACGCCTCTTCAGTGCCCAGGACACTTGTCACTCTCCTGCCTCACACTTCGGGTCTGGTTAATTCCCTGGAAAACGGTCTGTCACTTTCTTTGACAGGAAAGCTATCATTTCATTTGACCTCTAAACAGCCAGCCTTTGAAACAGAGCAACCTTTCCAAAGACACAATTCCAAATTAAAATCCTGTGTCAGGAGAAAAACATTAACTGAATTGCAAGTGTTCTTTTGAGCCTCATTTAACTCAGGTGTATAAAGATGAGATGGAAAATTTACATAAGACTTGTTTTAAGTTTGGAAGGCTTTTGGGGGTGCAAGGCAAGATCTATATGCTTATTCATTACTATGAAAGGACTATAATAAAACTTAAGCTATGAAATTATGACATTTTAACGATTTGGCATTTGCTCTAGGGCAGTGAGGAAAGACAAAGCTAGCTAAATATTGGGAAAGTGCAATAGTGTCTGGATTATGTGCCCTGCACATTCCCAGGTGTCCTCTGCTCAGAGCAGAGACTTAACCAGCAACGAATGCCATTGAAAACCTATTCAAAACAATCTTTCCATCTCTCCTAAGTCCTCATTTGTTTTTATGCACCTCAGTCATTAAAAATAATGATAGGCGAGACCACAGAAATGGCTCAGTAGTTAAGAACTCTGGCTACAATTTCAGAGAACCTGCTCAGGTTCTTAGCACCTACAAGGTGACTCAGAACTGTGTGTACCTACAGTTCCAGGGGATCCGATGCCATCTTCTGGCCTCTGTGGGTACCAGTCACTCACATGGTAATAGACACACATGCAGTCAAAACACTTGTATATACAAAATAAAAATTTGAGTCTAGTGTCCTGCTCAGAGCCTCCTGAGGCCTGGAGACAGCACACTGGGGAATGAATCCCAGAGATCCAGCCCACAAAGATACTGCCAGCATCCTAGTCCTGCCTCCACCCATGGGACAAGGTAAGCTTGGCCTGTTTCCAACCGCCTTCTGGTGCCCTGTTCAGAGGCTCCTGAAGCCCCGGGACTGTCCACTAGGGAACCCATCCTGGAGGTTCAGCCCACCCAGAGACTGCCAAGGCCCCAGTACTAGTCCCACCCCCACCCTCGAGAAGGGGAGAGCCATATGAATATTGGACCTGCTTGTACCTACTGGAAGGGAACTTTGGACCCATACCCACCATGAGAGGAAAAGACTCCTCCTGCGCCCACAGGAAGAAGGGATGGGAAGAAGACAATACAAAAACACATTCAACAACAGAAAAACCAATATGAAACCACCAGTGTCTAGGGACTCTAGACCAGCAAAACCTGAACATCCGAATGCAGATGAAGCAGAAGAGAATGACCTTAAAAACAACTTCATGAAAATGATAGAGACCTTCAAAGAGGATATGAGAAAAATCCCTTAAAGTAATAGAAGAAAAACAAACCAAAAATGCAAGAAATCAATAGACAAGAAAAAAATCAAACAGATGAAGGAAACAGTTCGAGACCTGAAAACTGAAATAGAGATAATAAAGAAAACACAAACTGAGGGAATTCTGGAAATAGAAAAGCTGGGTAAATGATCAGGAACTACAGATGCAAGCATAACCAACAGATTACAAGAGATGGAAGAGAGAATCTCAGGCATTGAAGATACACTAGGAGAAATAAATTCATCGACCAATGAAAATGTTAATTCCAACAAATCCTTAACACAAAATATTCAGGAAATATGAGACATATATAAACAAAATGAGAAATAAAAATCACAGATCATCTCACTAGATGCTGAAAAAGTCTTTAACAAAATTCAACATCCCCCCATGATCCCTCTTGGAGAGATCAGGGATAACAGGAACATGCATAAACATAATAAAAGCAATATACAGCAAACCAACAGCTAACATCAAACTAAATGGAGAGAAACTCAATACAATTCCTCTAAAATCAGGAACAAGACAAGGCTGTCCACTATCTCCATACTTCTTCAATATTGTACTTGAAGTTCTAGCTAGAGTAGTAAGACTAAAAAAGGAG